GTTGAATATTCTAGAACTGAAAGAACATTCATCAGAAATTTGTCATCAAAATCTATATCAAAATAATAAATAAATTCATAAATAAGAGGCAGGATACTATCCCTCATATTGTGTCAGACAGCTATTGCTAGATGAGGTCATCCAATTAAAAATAATAAAATGCCATTATTTTAATAATACCTCTATGCTGCCAGCAATGCAACTACAAAGAGATACCAGAAGCATATGGTGTACCAGAATTGGAGAATATAAAAAAACAACTTACCGTTAATTGTTGCCAAAAAATGTTGATTCTTTTAGGAAACTTGTAACTCGAATTTGCGCTGACTACTGGTGCTGTTGGTTCTGAAAATAATATTATTAAAAGGAATGAAAGCAACTAACCATGACTTTGATTTGCATAAATATGTTTGAGGTGAACTATCGTATAAAAATTGTCATGTCATGCGACACACCTCAAAAGATAGGAACTGCTAACTGTCATCTAAGAAAGATGTCGTTAGCCATCCCTAAGTTTAGATATTCATTGTGAGTAAAAGTTTGTTATTCTACTTTAATATTAAATAATTATAATTATCTTCATAAATCATCATCATAATATATTACCATCATTACCACCATCACATTCATCATCACTGTCACCTTCGTTATCATCATCATTATCATCATACAGAATTTTAAATTATCACCATCAACCTACATAAATCATCATCACGCTAAGTCATAAATCAGCATCACTCTTAATCATCTTCACCATTACAAATCACCATCACCTGCAAAATCACAGATCACCATCAACATCACCATGATTAAATAAAAAAAGATTCAAATGTGTTTACCTCCACAGACTGTTGATGCAGTTAGCTCATTACTTCCCCTTGGACCTTCACCCCCAGCACCTTCCCTGACCGCTGCTATAGCAAAGTCATATTCTTCTTCCCACCGTAAACCAGTCACTGTGGCTGTAAGACTGTTGTCTTGAGGCATGTGGCGCCAGAGCCCAGATGATGAAGACCGTCTGTAATATAAAACATATCCAATAACGGGACCATCACCACCATCTCCACTACTGGTACTCCAGTTCCTCCATCTCAATTCCACTGATGATCCAGTAACCGTCAGTGTGCTTGGTTGTCCAGTATACGTTGGTAATGCTAGTTGAAAAAACGTACAATAAATTCAAAATAATTAATAATCCATTCGTTACAATCATGACAAACCACTGATCTTTAACATTAATTACATAATAATACAAGATAATGCCAAAAAAAAGACTTACCAAAGAGATTAAGTGAATGATCTGCATATGCTGTATATGGATCCCTAGCAAGTCTGCAGATATATGTAACAGTAGGATTCGCTTCACCGGTAAATGTAACCCTGGTAACCCCATTTGCTTGTGTGCGTGCAGTTTCTGCAGCAGGTTGACTACCAATAAGGAACTGGATGGTAACACCAGTCACATTACCTTGAATGTCACATTGGAATGTAGAAATCTGACCTGGATTAACTTTTGTGTTAGAAGAAGCAGAGATTCCTACAATAGCAAGAAGCAGGAATAAAATATATACAAAAACATATAAATTATGATGAAAATATATTGCCTCTTGTAAGACTGAATTTTTTAAAATAATTAATATTATTTTAAAATTTGTTTGGTTCAGTAAACTAAGTCTAATTATGAGGCTTAAGGAAATTAAACAATTTTGACAGGATATGTACCCAAGATATTAAAATGAATTAAATTATTTTAATTGTCATTTATACTGGGATACATGTTCATTATCAAGCTATTGTTCTCCACACATCGTCCAGTATAATACTTGTGGAGTTAAGCTGTTTTAGTGGTGAGAAAATTTCTGGTTTTTTAGAAGATTTGAAAGGCAAATTTCTTGCTTTGATCCCGTTAATAAACTAAAAATATCCTACCAAAACTTTTTAGGGGGTCTTTTTAAGTGGTGAAT